ACCCAATCTGTGAATTAGGAGGGGTGGTGAACTTCAGGCATGATCTTGTTTTCCAGCCCTCAAGACTCAAAGCCCCTCCTCCTCACGAGCCCTGTTCTGTGCCCTACTTGAGTTCTTCAGCCTGGTTTTGATTTGTCCATGAACATTTGAAGTTTCTGGAGTGGTGCAGAAATCCCAGGATTTTTCATGGCTGGAATACAGCCTACCATACCAAGCACAATGCAAAGTGTTTGTGTTGACCTTTAAAGCCCTAAATGGCCTCGGCCCAGTATACCTGAAGGAGCGTCTCCACCCCCATCATTCAGCCCAGACACTGAGGTCCAGCTTTGAGGGCCTTTTGGCGGTTTCCTCCCTGCGAGAAGTGAGGTTACAGGGAAACAGGCAGAGGGCCTTCTCGGTAGTGGCACCCGCCCTGTGGAATGCCCTCCTATCAAATGTCAAGGAAATAAACAACTATCTGACGTTTAAAAGACAGCTGAAGGCAGCCCTGTTTAGGGAAGTTTTTAATGTTTGATGTTTTATCACTTTGTTATTATTATCTTGAACTGGTCTTTGACCGTAACAATAAATTATTACTATTACTATTCTGTTGGAAGCCACCCAGAGTTGCTGGGGAAACCCAGCTCAATGGGCAGGGTATAAATAAATAAATTATTATTATTATTATTATTATTATTATTATTATTATTAACACTTTTTTCTCTGGTCCCACCCACCCCTGGGATGGAAGGTGGCCCACTCGAGGGCGCAGTCCTCAGGTGAAAAAGGGCTCCACCATCTACCCTGTTCTATGATGGCTATTTGTAAGGGGTTGTATTGCTGTGGGTCTGGTACAAGGCTGAGTAAGTAAGTACGTTGAGCAGACACTACAGATAGTTGCATTTGACAGCTTACACGATGAGATAAAGAGTATACCCTTTCTTGCCCCTGTGTTGGGCTTTCGTTGCCTTAAATGTGTGTGTCTCTGTGAGTGTGTGTGTGTGTGTGAGAGAGAGAGAGAGAGAGAGAGAGAGGTCAACTTATAATTTACAAAAGACACATGAGAAACAGAAAGCATGCCAATGGTTTTGCAGTTTTCAGTCACTGTGTGTAGCAACAATCTGGATGTACCCTTTGCCATTGTAAACCCAAGGTCTATTTTTCCTCTACCACTGTCTATCACTATCTGGCTCATCCTTGCTTTGTCCCATAGAGACATGAAGATAGAAAAATAATAATTGAGCTTCATCTCCTAAATCATGATTAATCTTAGAAATTATGGATCAATGGGAAGGAAATGTCATTCTGTGGAGTGGGAGATTCTTGAACGACAGAGGATGCAATCCTAAACATGCTTCCTTGATTGTAAGTACCATTGAACACAATGGGACTTTCTTCTGAGTAAACACACATAGGATTCTGCTCCACTAAAGAAGACTCTAGATGGAAACTCTCTTTTTGTGTGTGCATACAAATCTGGTGAGATTGCTTGAGAACTCCCCCCACAAAATCCATTTGAGTTCCAGTCAGTGTGTCTCAGAGCATGAGTTTGTGTAATGGTGTGTTTCACTGTGATAATGTTGGAAGCAAGAAAGTTGTATTTGGAAGTGGAACAAGGCTGACGGTTCATTCACGTAAGTCTTTAAAAACCAAATGTTTTCACAATGCGTATCTCTTACAGTTCCAAAGCGGGGAACAAACTTTTTATATTGCATTTAGTACTATATTTATAACTCACTCAAGAGGGTGACTGTTTGTGTTTGTTTAAAGAAGGTTCTTATCTTCTTAGTCTCATTTTAAAGTTGAATGGATTATTTAGTATCATAAATGTACAGCATTCTTTGAAAAACTGCAGAAGCAAAAAAACCCACAACCAAACAAAACCTGGTTTCTGTCCTCACAAACGTTACAATCAAAACTGTTGACTGTGAAGGTGACAACCAAGAGAAATTTCCAAGTCACACTAAAACTAAATGTATTGCCTCATAAGAAAAAAAAATCCAAAATACAGATGGGTGTGTGTGAAAACACATCTTTATTATGCTAACTAAAAATGCCACAAAATAGTGTGCAAGCTTTTGAATCCTTCAGAACTCTTCACCTAACCTGATGTAAAGTTCTGGAGAACTCAAAAGCTTGCACACTATTTTCTGACATTTTGGATGGTGTAATAAAAGAATTGTCCTAATGTGGGTTTTGGAATAAAGAGGAGGGAAATGGCAACAAGAGACCAATACAAGCAAATGCAATTGCACCAAAACAGGGCTCTTTAAAGCATAGAATGTGTACAATCTAATAAGTGTTTCCTTTCAGTAGGACAACAATCAAGTAAACAGCAAATCCTAATGCTCCTCAGATCAGGAACATAGGAAACTGCAGTGTCCTGAGCCCACCTAACTCAGTGTTGTCCACACTGACTGCGGTTGTTCTCCAAGAAGGGGCATTCCCAGCCCTACCGGAAGAAACTGGGGCTTGACGCTGAGACTGATTCTGTATAAGACAGCTTCCCATATTCCTTCAGAGATGCTCCATCACTGAGCTGTGCCCATTCCCCAATGCATACTTTAGGGAAGAGTGAAAAGCAATTGCTAGCTGCTATGCTTCTGAAGTTTTTGTAAAGTGCTTTCTCACTGTGTATTACAAGGCAATGCTGGAAAGTTGATCTTTGGCCAAGGGACCATGCTGATAATCCAACCAGGTATTTCAGGACCAAGCAGGTTCAAGTAGCTTGGTCCATCGTGTCTAGTTGCGAATCCGGGGGGTGGGGGGTGGGGAATCTCACCTCATCTCTAGGTTCACGTTGTAGTTTCCAACAAGTTAATAACTGCCAGCCTTGGGAAGAACGCTCGTTTCTTTATATAAGCTTCCATTCCCTCCACTGTCTTAGACACACATGCTTGGTATTTGCAAATCAATCCTGCAATCAATAGGAATGGGATAGTAAACACATTTTTATTTACTAGACTCTAACCATCTATTGCCTGGCCATGTCAAATATGCTCAGGATAAGGTAAAAGGTAAAAAAGTTAAGGACCCCTGGATGGTTAAGTCCAATCAAAGGAGACTATGGGGTTGCAGCACTCATTTCACTCTCAGACCAAGGGAGCCGGCGTTTGTCCACAGACAGCTTTCCGGGTCATGTGGCCAGCATAACTAAACCGCTTCTGGTGCAACGGAACACTGTGAAAGAAACCAGAGTGCATAGAAGCACTCTTTACCTTCCTGTCAAAGCAGTACCTATTCATCTACTTGCACTGGTGTGCTTTTGAGCTGCTAGGTTGGCAGGAGCTGGGACAGGGCAACGGGAGCTCATTCCGTTGCGGGGATTTGAACCACCAACCTTCTGATCGGCAAGCCCAAGAGGCTCAGTGATTCAGACTGATAGGATAGGGCTGTGGTGAACCCCCATCATGGAAGGAAAGATGGATAACGAGCTTTCCAAACTATGGATATATGTTTCCCTGGGCAGAAAGCAGTGGGCAGATATGTCTTTAGGAAGGAGTAAGGAACTTGTGAAGCTTCAAATGTTGGGTTGAGGTGCCTGTCACACCCCCCCACACACACCATTGTCGATGCTGGCTGGGAGAACTGATGGATGTTGGAGTCCAACAAAATATTGCTACTTTTAAATGAATAATGTGTCATTCATTCATTCATTCATTCATTCATTTGTAGTAGTAGTAGTAGTAGTAGTAGTAGTAGTAAAATTCTGGGGGCCTATAGCTTCTCTCCACCCCTTCCTTTAGAACAGAGATTTTCACAGTGTGTATTTTTGAAATGAGAGTGCATTTATGGACATTTTCTTCTTGTGAGCAAAGGGATGACAGAGCAATTACAAAATAATATCTTAACAAGTTATAGGGAGTCCTCTGCTTTCATCACAGCAGCTATGAAACAGGAATGTGCATGTGTTGCAACCTCATGCCATTGAACTGAATGGAACTGGCTTTTGAGTGGATCTGTATGAGATTTCACTGTAAGTAGATGCATTTTCGTAAAGGTCTGTACTACGGTGAGCAACAATGCCAAGTTCACTTTGGGATCTGGTACAAGGCTGGTTGTATCACCAAGTAAGTATACA